AGGTCCGAAGCGCTCAATTGTGGAATTGCCGTAGTGTCAAGACGCAAGGCTATTTGGACTTTCCCGCAAGTCCTAATAAAACCCTACCCCTAAGTCCTAGTAAAGTATTACGGGCGGCGTCAAGAGGGGGGGGAATGAGCTCGCCTCCGGCTGCCTTTCTATACCAAGTGGTGACTGATTTAGGAAGAAAGCAATCAGTGGTGGAAACGCCGCAGGTAGAGTCATCCTCCTTGTTGAAACCCCACCAAATGGGCATTTTATGGTGTGCGTTCTTCACTGAGGAGGGGCCTTTTGAAATACAAGAATCGCGTGAGATCACCGTGATGTGTAATGTTACAGAGCCACCGGTAGGTCCATGTGCGACTGTGCGCTGTGGTTTCAACACCCAGTGCTTTGAATTCAATGGAATGGCAAGATGCTACAATACAAGTGAGTTTATGACATGAAATCGTATTCTAGCCAGCTCGCTCAAAAAATCAAGCAATTCCTGAACGATCTGATTTTTTTACTGTTTTTAGCATGTCCACCTGGCGAGGTCTTCTCCGAGTGTTCGTCGTACTGCGAGCCTACATGCATTCCTCAAAACATTGTAAGTAGTCTATCAGAAAGAGTTTGACTGAGCTACTGTCAAGTAAGTACACTGCATATAACGGAGATGGGGGGAGGCGTGGCTGCGTACTTCAGCGTCTACGCTGTTGGTGTGATATTGCCTTTATGGGATGATTATATCATTTCTTCGTCCGGCACAAAAGAGGCAGTTGCCACTGACAGACTAAATCTCACCTGGCTTATTTCAGTGGACTATTGTCTCAAACAGAAATATTACAAAAAGGAAGGACGAATCTTAGCCACGTTCAGATGAAGTTTGACATCCACCCCCCTCCCCCACATTCCCGGAAGAAGGAGTGCAACACCTATTTGGAACTCATTGCGCAAGTTTCAACGAGCACTGAACACTGTCGTTGAAATCATCTCATCGAGGGGTCTTGTCATGCGGCTGGATAAGGGGGTCGTCCCCGCCTCTGGTTGGTGGCGCTGCATCACCGTTGTTTAACAATTGCTTTTGATAGCAGAATCGATTAGTGACGACCTCCCACAACTATCTGGGGAATCTGGGGAAACTGAGGAAGATGATAGGTAGAATGGGAAGTCGGTACGTACTACCGCCTACCCAGCGGGGATGCTGGGTTTTTTTCTGACACGACAGCCCACCGCCTAACGAATACCCCTTCAATTTCCCAAAAGACCCATTCAAGGTTCAATCATGCCTCAGATGCTCAAGAAACGCCAACGTTCGGTTCCCGCTGCGTTTTCTGTTCCTTCATTCGGCCCGGAACCTTCTTATTTTCCCTGTATGTAGCTGATTGCCTCCTTTGTCCCTGAGGCTCAATTAATTGTAGAAATGGCGCATCCATGGCTCCTGCTGCTTGATTTGTGGTTTTTCGTTTTCAGCCTCCCTGGTGAGCTGATATATAATTCGCCGCACCGCTTCCAAAGACGACCTCATGGTGAAGGATTTGCCAAGATGCGCAAAACCTTTTCACGCAGTTCTTTGTGCAGCGATTTGGGAGGTCATTTCCCTGTGTAAAGCAAGCAAATCTGAAGCAAAGATGTGAACCAGAGGGCGAGAAAAAATCTCTCTGATAGGGATTTCGTCATGAGATGCCATTTTGACGCACATTCCCAACACAAAATTTCCCAAACAAGGTGTTAAGTTGAGTAGAAGTCTTTCGAGAGTCCCAACAGTTGCCGTATGGGCAGAGCCGTGATCTATCGTTATAACTCCCTACTCTCTTCTCGCCCAATCCTTGATAAGATAAGCTACGCCCATCTCATTATGAACCGTCTCCGCCCAGTAGCTTGAGCGTGAATGAACTTCTGAGACACCCGTCCGGGGGCTGATTTCAGGCCATCATTCCAAATCATGCCTGTGGACCGCAGCTTGTCAGATGCAGCCTGGCTTTCCGTTCCGGTGACAGTATGGCAAATGTGTGGATCCAAGTCGTTGCTCGAATATCAAGTCGTCAACATCAACCTATGGTGAGTTAGATTGCTTTGAAGAAGCTCGCGGTTTTGCAAAGAAGCTCTCGGCTTCTGCTATAAGCTAGGTGCCTCAATAGTGAACAGCGATCCTTCTGCTCGCTGTCTGTCAGGACTACTTGCTGATTTCAAACAACGTTCGCATCATAACCCGGAAAATAGCTTTGCGATTTTGCACAGACATCGGAAAATAACACTCACCAGAAGACGTGTCAGATGACCGGAAGAGCACAGTTTGGCCTGGTGGGGACATTGCGTCGTTCTTCTCAATCACTGCCGATGTGAAGGCCCGTAAGTTCTTGTGAAGCCCTGCAATAGCACCAGCTTTGTTTACTCTTGACTAGAGGTCTCACCCAGCTAAAACGTGTAAATAGAGTGGAACTAGTAAGGGAAACTAGCAAACTGGAAAAATACCGCCCCTTCTCGAGCCGAACAGAGCTATGAGTGATTGCTTTTACCGCTAGGCTTGTCGCATACATGGCGCATTCATTTGCAGTCCAACAACTCAGCGAAAATACCGAACTGAGCCGCCGGTCACCTGTGCTTATCGCTATGATTAGTAGTAGTTCGTGGATAGAAAAACAAGGAAACTCGAAACATGAAAAGATTAAAGGCACGGTCCGCGATGAGGAGCTTATTTAGTGGTGTTGAAATAAGGAAGACAACTTGCCAAGTGACTCGTCTGTAAAGAGAAAATGCCAAAGGGAACGTTGGAAACGCCCCTAATGGACCACTCCGGTCTCAGACAGTTGTACGGGTAACAAGGCCAAAAGACCGCGTGTTGAATCGCATCCGGTCGCTTCATTCTCTTCCTAATAGGCCTTATGACTTCCGGAATAGACTATGGAGCATCTCCCTTTCGACTTGCCGAAATGAGACTATTGAGCATTCCTCTCCTGCTCTCAGGATGCTACTGCAGATTAGCATCGGCTTGTTTCATGGGAAAGCGGAGCATTGAGGGGATGTCTGGAGTGCGGTGCACTGGGAAAAAGCCGGAGGTGGCTTTAACTGAGCGTTTGCTCATAGCTCCTTTACCTTCATCAACTTTCTCCCGCCCCAAAAACTGGCACGAAGGTTATTCACCACGCGACCGCGGCTAGCCTCCCATCACAACTTTTTTGAGTTTTCATACGTCATCGCGGAACGTTTCCATATTAACTGAGCCACTTCTAGGCATGCGCCATGCCCACTATCAACAATATAATGACATTGTGCTCATGGTGAATTCCTCCTTATCATGGGAGGGAGAAACGACACGTTCGCACCTGTGCTCCTGCCTACCTAACGCCTTGAGATTGCAAAACTAACGATAGCGCTGTCTGAGGCCCAGGCCTGCATTCTTTAAAATCTGAAGTCAGTTTCACTAGTTTATAGAATTTGCCAGCCCTTTCATCTGGCTGACATCTTTTGTAGTTTGATCACATTGAACGAATAAACAGTAGAAAGCTGATTAATCCTTTCATTGCGACGCGCCCACTCAGGTCTGCTTCTTTCTTGAAGTTTCCTTTTCAATTTTCTACCTTTCACGTATAAAAACTTCAGTGGATGAGCCTATCACTCCTCCAATAACGACCTGCGCCCAAGCCCCGATCCAGGATTCAATATGCATAACACTGGGTTACACTGATGAAAATTGTCAATGGGACGCCACGATGCTTGCCTGATCCAGGTGAGAAAAGTTTATTAAACTGAACGGCTATAGGCTCCACCGTTGATTAATCCCATTGGAATGAGGCGACGGCAGCTATTTCCATTCAGAAGTCGTGGTGGCTTAATGCGTCTATGCGAAGGCACCGATGGGTAGTCAACTCTAGTGTTCCATCTCCCAAATTGATTACTGGTCATCCGTCGACCGTAGGGTGTTTGAGGAGGGGGATAGAGGGCTTGGATGGGCTCACAGTGGGGCGGCTGGGTTTGTCAGCCCATCATTCAGGATGTGGCATGCCGCGCGTGGCAGACGTGGGTGCCACGTGCTTCACTATATCTAAACTCTCTCCTCAACTTTTCTTCAAGTAAATGAATATTGAACTGATCAAAGGTAAGCGGAGTGGTTGTAGTGACAAGGGCGCGCCTTACCACCCGGCGCCGTGGGTCCGGGTTCGAATCCCGGGTCAACACCCGCCCAGGCCAACTTCAAGCCCTTTTATCTTCGGGAAATCGTGGTAAATTTGGTACCGAGATTTGTTGGAGAGGGATATTGAAACATTCTAACTTGTACATGCGGGCTGGCCACCGGCAATCATTGTATAGACACACATACGCATTCAAATAAGCACTACGATTCTGGGAATGGAAGCTCCCTCAGAATAACGTGCCGCTATCCCACAAAGGGATTGCTATCAACGGCGAAATACTTTATCCTCCCTATTTATCTCTTTGTATCAGAAGATTTCTCTCAATTTTTCTACGCGGTTGCTACGTAGGTAAAACACCAGTGAGACTGTATAACTCCTCCAATACACGACCTGCGACAAAAGCACCGATCCAGATTAATGGTGCGCGTGTGAGCGTGAGCGTGTAGTGGACTCACTGGGGTGTAAATGGCAATGTGGACGCCAGCGGGATGCTTGCCTGATCCAGGTGAGAAAAGTTTATTAAACTAAACGGCTAAAGGCTCCGCCATTGATTGATCCCTTTGAAATGAGGCACGCATTCTAGTTCCGTTCAGAATGCGTGTGACGCGCGTCGACTTAATGCGTCTAGCGAAGGCCACCCGATGTACAACTCAGCTAGGGCTATCAATGACGGCAACTTGCAGTGCCGATCCCACGATGCGCTTATAGGTCAAACACTAGTCTTTTAGTGTTCTGTTAAATGGGAGGCGCCTACGTTGCCCTCCTCGGTGTCAAGCACCCTAGTACAATATATGTTAGATGACGGGGGGGAGGGGGGGAGGGCTAGGTAGTAGACGATAATCCTTCTTGTGCCAATCCATGCGGCTGGTCTCTGACGATCCCTTTCTCCGCTCAGGAATGCCGGGAACGAGGCTGTTAGAATGGTGGGTACCTTCAGTGCGCGAATCTCTATACCTCGAGTCGTTTCCCCATCAAGGTCGTGTAGCATCTCCTGTCGTACACTTGATGTCTCGCCAAAGAATACACGCAAGTCCCGGCGTAGAGATACAAAAGGGACAAGGAGCAAGACAAAGTACCGGTTCGACCAAGGTAGGGCGACGGGCTGGGCAGCGGCGGCGAGTATAGAGACGGCACCCGGGTATCACTACCTTCCCTAGCCCGTTCCCACACACGTCATGGACCAGGATCAACATAAGTGGGTGTAGAATTTGTACTTAAGCGGAGACCTCGTCTTTAGCGTGATGACTGGTTAGTCCCAGTCTTTTGAAAAAGAGGATCACATCAAAGACCCCTGCTCGTAGTCACTTAGAAAGAAGGTCTCGTGGTCATAGGCAAAAGTCAAATGATCTTGTAGATCCATGCGCTGCCGCGTTCTGCTCCAGTCGTGGATGTATCGAGTATGACGACACATTTGGTTGCTTCAATACTAGTGAATGAACTACCGTCTTGTTCGAATACTGAGGCGTGTCACTGGGCCACGTTTGGATGCAGCGTCAGCCCGTTCTCCATCATTTGTTGAAGAGCGCACGCGACAACAAGTGGTGGAGAACAGGCTAAAGCCGCGCCAAACCCAGCCTCCTGACACGCCGCTGTATCCGCAGCGAACGAGACTGTATGTATAGCACCGTAACTTCGATGCTGTGCAGTGCGCAGAGGACACGAAAGCTCCATAAGGCTCACAAAACTAGAAATTAGCTATTGCCTAACTATTATGTTGGTGCCGCCCCTTAGGCCAATGTAGAAGCGTATTAGATTGTTCGGAATCCAATGTAGGTCGCGCAAATCTTGGTTTCTCTCATTCACTTAGGAAACAACAGTGTAAATGCCACGTCGAATTGGCGAATTGGTGATTTCAGTATAATATCGTATTTTCAGTATGTGGAGCCAATGAAGAGTTCAAGCAGTGCGCGTCTTGTGAACCAACCTGTGGACCCATTGTGGTATGTACTGCTTCTTTCAAGGGATGACTAGACACCGCTCTCGCCCATGAGACCTTAATGAGAGATTTATTTTATTTTATTGCTAGCTTACCAGCACTTGTTTTTTTTCATCTGGCTCTCGAGAATTGAACCCTTGGGAAGTGGAAGTAGTAGAAGGAGTATAGTTATGATCATGGCGCATTGGTTGAGTGTGTTGGGGTGTGGATTGGTGTTCCCACTAATTGGTGCCGCCCCCTCCCACCCTTACCACGCTCTCCCTCTTGCAGGGATAAAAGCGGAATTCCCCACTGGGTTCTGAAGAAAAATGACTCAGCTCATTTCTCTTTGGAAGTGTTATGCACCTTCGCTCAGCGTCGAGAGCATAATATTAGGTTGGCTAATAAGTAATGGCCGTTTTTTTCAATTGAAAAATTTGTTCGAAAAGTGAAACGTTTTGCAAGCAAGTTATATATCATCTGATAGGAAACTTCTCGTAGTATAAGAATATCAAAAAAGCTTTGGTTGAGGATATAGTTTTTGTGAATTTTTTAGTCGTTGAAGTTGGAAGTGAAGTCGGCGAAAATTAGCATCTTCGACAACTGCCTCTATTTACGTCTACTCGAAGTGCTAAAATCGCTTAAGCTGCTCCATACATTTGGAAAAGGTTGTGCTAGAAGTCTCAGCAAGGGAATCTCAATAGGACGCTTTGGAACTAATTTCAAGAATTTCAAAGTTGGCAACCTTCACCTTGCCAATATTGGGCAGGCTCACGTCTGTTCCACCTGAAATTTCATGCTAATAGTTGAATTAATTGAATTTGAATTTGATATTCTAATACTACGAGAAGTTTGCTATTAAACGATATTAAGCTTGCTTGCAAAACTTTTCACTTTTGAAACAAATTTTTCAATTGAAAAAAACGGCCATTACTTATTAGCCAGCCCACTAGCAGTTATTAGCCAGCCCACTAGCAGTGGGCTGGCTAATAAGTAATGGCCGTTTTTTTCAATTGAAAAATTTGTTCCAAAAGTGAAAAGTTTTGCAAGCAAGCTTAATATCGTTTAATAGCAAACTTCTCGTAGTATTAGAATATCAAATTCAATTAATTCAACTATTAGCATGAAATTTCAGGTGGAACAGACGTGAGCCTGCCCAATATTGGCAAGGTGAAGGTTGCCAACTTTGAAATTCTTGAAATTAGTTCCAAAGCGTCCTATTGAGATTCCCTTGCTGAGACTTCTAGCCTCAACCTTTTCCAAATGTATGGAGCAGCTTAAGCGATTTTAGCACTTCGAGTAAATAGAGGCAGTTGTCGAAGATGCTAATTTTCGCCGACTTCACTTCCAACTTCAACGACTAAAAAATTCACAAAAACTATATCCTCAACCAAAGCTTTTTTGATATTCTTATACTACGAGAAGTTTCCTATCAGATGATATATAACTTGCTTGCAAAACATTTCACTTTTGCATTCATTGGGGCCGTTTTTTTCAATTGAACACAAATTTTCAATTGAAAAAAACGGCCATTACTTATTAGCCAACCTAATACATCAGGCAATGGTACTAGGCTATGCCATGCGCTCTACCACCATTAAGAATCGCTGTAGCTTTTGCCTCCACTCGCTCAGTGCGACGAATAGTAACCTCAACCACTATACAAATCCTGTTTTGATCCTCCCAAATCAGTCCCCGGTCGAATCTCGCTTGCGCTAGCTGATCCTCCATCACTGATCAATTACAGTTAGTATCGTCGCAAGCAGTCGGGCGACTTCAATAGAAATGAGAATGAGTCCACCCGCGGCGATTCCGCTTCTGGTTGTGTTCTTTCCCTATCGATCACTAATCCACACCACTGTACAGGAAGGAAGGCGTAGGCGGGCTCATCTCACCCCTCCTTTCACCGGCCCGACTGATTGCGACGTTGTCCCATTAAAGTAAATGAGCAGAAATGTAGTCGTTCTCGGTGCGTTATGTGGTAGCGTTTCTGCACACGTAGGTTCCCCCCCCTAGTTCTCACTATGGATAGGGGTTACCAGTGATGGGAATAGACTGACACCATGCCATGATACCGCCGCGCCATAACGTGCGTATGTGCACGCGACGCACCGGTAAGCAGTGCATGGCATTGTTCACAGTCTGACGAATCGGAGAAACAGCGAAAGTAATGAATACGTATAGACCAGGAGAATAGTTGCTCGTTGAATCATTGCTTAAAGGCAGTTGGCACGATATTCACAAGACGAGTAGGGTTGATACGCCTGGCAGTACGGAATTCAACGCTTCTGAGCAAGCGCTGCGTGGCGCCTTTCCAGGGGAAGTACCCTTATAGAACCCTATCAAGCTGCAATATACCGACGACCGTACCTGATGCTGGTTTTGCTTCATTCGCGAAGTAAATATGAGGCGAAGGGACATATATCAAGCGGCTGCGATGCTGCTGGATATATGAGTGCATACATGCAGCCATATCTACCGTAGCGGTTATTGGCGCGAAGCCAACGGGAAACTCGTCCGTTAATTCTGGATAGTGTAGAAAAAAACTTTTTTGCATGTTTTTGAGCGTTTCACGTCGCTTTTTCACCATTTCCCCCATTAGATAGCAACACTGTTACCGCTTTAGAGTGAGTACCAAACTATTGTGCCAATCGTGCCAACTACTGCATGTATCGGGTTTCATCATATCTACTATATTCCTGACCAACAGAGGCAAATCCATTTCAGCCTTGTCTCGATGTTTGCTTCCCGCCAGCCTGTCAGTGTGTCGGTGGGTATGTTCGCGACAATGGAAAATGTATCAGGAGAACCGACTGCAAGAACAGCTATGTTGGCCGATGAATTAGAGTCTATGTTGCATGTTGCTACATATGTAATAAATGAATGATGATGTTGCTGTTTTTCGCTAACGTTAAGGAATTCTCGTGACCATTCCTGTCGCTGAATCTCTACCTGATTGTTTTACCCTCCGTCTGAGAAAACATGTCCATCAATTTCAAAAAACACGGAGTTCGGAATTCGCAGAAATGCGGAAGTGTGGACTGTACAGAAATGCTAAAATGCAGGAATTTCGCTCAGGGCACATCATTGGATGGGGATTTTAGTCGAGTCTGTACGACCCCCCTTTTTTTGGGGGGGGGGGAGTAAATAGCAAATGTGGAAACAGAAAAAGCCTGAGACAATACAACCAACCCTCCCCCCCCCCTTCTACCAATTCTCAGATTTTTCCCAACTTCCTGCCACTTTTTCCAAATTTTCCCGAAAACTTCCCTACTTTTTCCCAAAAATTTTGCTGTCGAGCGGGAGGGAGGGGAGGGTATATAGTACGCATGAAACAGGAAAATCACGAAAAGTCAACCACCACTCCTAGAAAGGCCAGAAAGTAAATACGACCCCCCCCTCCCAACAATGAGCAAGTACGACCCCCCCCCCTTTTACAACGTCCGTGAAGCGAGAAAAATCAACTATCAAAATAAATTTTTCTCAGCCCAAATACGACCCCCGTTGGGGATTCCCCAACAACGATGTGCCCTGATTCCGCTGGTGAGGCTAAGCGATCGATCCCTACCACTTCTTTGTCCGTCATTTCGGCATTTCTGCAAATTCCGCGGAATTGGGAGAAATGCAGTTTTAAGTCGATACGTACACATTTTCTGTCTACAATTTCGTCATTTCTGCAACGTAATCATGTATGGACGCGGTCTTACAGGCTGATAATACTACCGAGACGTAGAGCAACAGCTTCACGTCACTCGAGAGAAAGCTAGGCCTGGTTATATGGTTACCCAATTCAGAATTTTTAGCATTTCTGCCTCGGGCTCTTTGAGCGGCTTTGGTCTTTTAGAGGCCCTGCCGTACGTTGAGTTGTGGAGTCTGCAATGGATATTGCGGCACAATTTATTTCACATCTCCGCCTGGGAGTTCATCGCGCTTCGGTTCCAAGTTTTCCATTTTCTGTTGCTTCATTAAATAGAGCTATTGTTTCAAGTTAATCTAGTTGACCCTTCATAATCATTGCTCCAATTGCTGAACAAAGGCGATTCTTCTATCAAAATTCTCCATTCCTCTTTATGAGACATGCAGCTACTCCAGCATATTTTGTTTCAGGATATGGCACCGAAAGCGAAACCATCCGATAAGAACAGGGATAAGCAAAAAGGCTTGGAAGTATTCAGGTGCAGTTTTTCATTGAATATGTTACTTTTTGGGATAAAGTCAAAGCAATCCCGGCTTTTGTAGTTTTAAGAGTTCTTCTTGTTTTTTTTTTGCAAAAAAAATTCTAAACCTATACGACGACGCTTTGATCTTTAAGTGCTCCCTCAGGTCTACAAATAACAGTCATACTTCATTTTCATTGACAGCGACACAGCCGAGTCTTGCACCGAAACACGGGGAAACGAAGATTTGTTGAGAAGTGACCAGTTAGTGGTCAGATCTCAAGGAATCTGACCAATAACTGGTCAGATTTCGGGATGATCAGTCATTGGGGAATTTCTGTTCAGAAGAGCCCCGTTACTGAGGGTCAAATGACTACAACGTTTTTCTCTTGCAGAATCCCATTCCGCCACTTTTATCTCAGCATTTTGTGGTGAGCTCTCTTTAAGCTGCTTTATTCGTTCGAATCAAATCTGTTCGTTTGGGTCAACCCGTTCAAAAGAGCAGTAAAGTAGGAGCAAGTACAAATACAATAAAAGGAAGCAGTTATCATTTGAAGAACCAATTGAGAGAACTGTCATCATGAAACTGAGTCCTGTAGACCAGTGCCCTTTCTTGTTTTTAATAGATCGACCTTTCTCTTTTGAAGAAAATTTGCTGCAGACCTGTTTGGCGGGGGAATCAAATGGTCCTACTTGCGAATAGTAAGTTCTTGTGACAGAAGTGGTTCACTTGTACTATTGACAGGGATTCACAGGTTGGTTGACAGGATTAAGCGAAAGTGCAAAGTGCTCCCCCCTCCACCTAATCCGAACAGCGTCTAAAACTCCTTTATTGCTCATATTTACGAGGGAACCCGTAGCCCGCTTCTATTGGTGCTCATTTTTGATCGAGTTGGAATCAGCTTGCTATCCGCAAGAGAAAACGGGAAACAGATGCATGAGAAACTTCTGCTCTGTGAATCAAGAGGAGCTTTTTCCGTTCGAATCCGCTCATATGAACGTTTTTCAAGCCACTTTCACGCGTGGAATTTTCTTAAACCAAGCTACTTCTGAATGAAGACCGAAAAAAAAAACAGAAAAAAAAAAACGAAAAAAAGCGTTAAAAGAACGTAAGCCTCGTCCAGCACTGAATCATAGGTGGGTATAGATATAGGATAGGTAGGAAACCAAAGGTGCTGAGAGGAAGAGAGACTTAGCTGATGAAGTTAGTTATTGACGGCGCAAATTGGGAATTCACTCATTTCTGGTTCATTAGGGTTTACCGTTTCACCTACTGCATTAAATCTTGGTTAGGCGGATTCCTCTGATAACGTGAAATCGCACGCGAATGTCAGCTGCACTATGAATACCCCTTTTTCACAACTGCAAGTTTTTACCGGTCAGCTAAACTTTCGTTAGCACATTGAGTGTGAAGTTGGTTTCAGCGGCGCAGGTTATGATGTCGAGCAGCAACACATTCTTGAAAACACCAAAGTACTCTGAAATTCTAACAGTCGCGACCAACAAGGTTCAAGAAACCAGGTATACTTCAGTAGGAGCCGAGGCGCTTTTGGGTTTCGAGGGGGCATTATGCATCTTTGCTAGCCCCTTTCGTTAGTTCATGTCAAATACCAGAAGGTGCTACTGAGTCACCTCGGCCACAGGATTTTACATTTTTTCACAAGTTGGCAGGGTTTTTATAAGCCCTCCTAATTCTTGGCCCTTTCAGTGAATCTGCTATGAGGAACAACTTTAGCTCTCTGGAATATAGTAGGACATGCCAGGCAGCGGCTTCTGGGATGGCTGCAGGTATGGTTGTTGAATCGTCAGTTTTTCTTCTGAATTGACATCAGTTTCAGTATTTAAGGTATTCTCGGACTAACAGGAATCCCAGGATTCATTTTCTACTTCATAACTGTAGCCATTCAGGTCAGTGTATTTCTCCGTTTCCTATAATTTACGTTCTTTTTTCTTGGAAGCGGGTGGAAGTACTCTATGGGAGCATAAGATACCATTGTTCCCAAAGTAACTAGTAATGCTATTTGCGGCGCAGTTTGACGACGTGGGGGGCATTTTGCACTTTCGCTACTTCCCATCGACGTGTCGACCTATCTAGGCAGCCTCTTCTCGAGTTGACAGGTTTTACCATGATGGCTAGATGAGCTTGCTCCAGCTTCACAAGAGTTCACAGGTTTCGCCAGAGTGAGACTTGTAAACCGGAACTAGGGAAGCAATGATAGTACAAAATGCCCCCCCCCGTCAAACTGCGCCGCTATTTGCATTGCGAGGTGGAGGTGCTACTGTGGGAAGTGGCACACTTACGACGCGCATGGTCCGGGCATCGAATCCCGCCTAGGCCAGCCAGTCTTCTTACCCTCCGGGGTTGGTAAAACGGTACCAGATTTATCTGGGAGGGCGACACTGACTTGTACATTGGCTGCCCCACGGAGTCAATGTGTAGACCGCATCGCATTTAATAAGCCACTGCGATTCTGAGTGGAAGTAGTACGTGTCGCATCCCACAAAGCTATGATCAACGGCAAGGACCTCCTTTTATCCTTTTACTCTTTCACTTGTATTGAAGCTGTTTTGCTATGATAACTGCTGTTTGACTCACTGATAGCGTTGCGAAAGCCATCACAAGTGCGCTGTCGTTACAAAAAGGATAGCGCATGCCCGATAAGCGTGAGATTTGGGTTTGAGTCCCGCCAATTTTGCCCATTACTCGGCATTCTTATGTTATTGTTTCTTTATTGTTCCCATTGATTTAGGCTTTGTTTTGGGAAGCAAAGGCAGGTTTCGAATGGAGATCATACTTTCTCGACCGCACACTTTCTGTGACGCATTCCATCGTCGGAGGTTTATTCACGTATATTCTCTTTTGGGTATTTCTTTATGGAATGGTCCATGTATATTAGATGACTGAAATTGTTCCTTTCAATCTGTTACTAATTTAATTCGTTGTATGTAATGACTGTTGCTTTCAAGCGACAGAAAGAAGCTTCGAAAAGCGAATGTCTGTGATCTACTCAGGTTTTCATTTCATTTTTTCATTGCTTGTTAAAATGCCATTATTTCGGTATTCTTCCTGTATGTTCGACGTCAGTGTATATTTTAATTGTGCTTTAATAAACCAGTTCCTACCTTTTTTTACTATAAACAACACCCATGCAGTACCAGGACACTTCATATCCGGGAGATGGAGAGGGCGTGATTGCTTACTTCGAGGAGCAGGACGCGTTTTTCGTGGGATAATTTTATTTGAAACAACTTTCAGCCTTGTGCTGAAAAAGGCATTACAATTTCCAGAAGCAGCTGGATTTCACCGCAGCTACGCCTTCCCCATCTTCGGAATATGGAGTGTGAATATCCTACGTCGTTAGGAAATATTGTCAGTGGTGCCTTATGTGAGTTACTTAATGGTAGGGACGACGTAATCCAAGTGATGTTGGTTTGCTTCTGGTCAGATGCTTCAAAACGTTGTAGTTGTGCACGGCATTCGAACCAAGCAGCTCTGACATGGTCGTGCTGCAGTAAGCCGAGTCAGCCAGGAGAATGGCTGGGGAATGCCACCTCAACGCCGCAATTCTGGATCTCCTTACTCATTATGCGCTCTAAGGCTTGGGGCGGTGGTTGATGAATATCTTGAAACACTTGAAACTACAATGTTTTAAGAAGCCAGCCCGCCTGATTAAGATTAAGCCGCCTAGAGGGTCTCGTTACAGGAAATTTTCTTTTCAGGAAATTTTCAAGTTTTCTGAGTAATAGGTTTAGAAATTTGTTTGACCCAACAGCACTTGTTGAAACAGAGTGGTTTAGGAAATTCAGTTGAGCAGCACGATGCCAGAGAACCAGAGTAACTTTATTGGACACGTTCAGTGTGATATATTGCCCGCGGAAGAAGGAGAGCAACTTCTGATGGCTTGACCTTACTTGTCGTTAGCACCTGCCATACTCGCCTGTGGTTGGCGAGAGACTTGCACAAGTTCTCAAAGTGGCAAAACGTCCCACGCGCTGCGGCGTTACGAGCGGTGTCTCGGACGCGGCATTCGCACCAGGACCAAATGAACTGGTGCTAACGTATTTGGGGGGGGGACCACGCGGCTCGCGGCGAGCGATGACTCATCTGCTCTTCTGCTCCTTCCTCGGCGAGATAGTACTCGAAACAGCCCATAGATGGTTCCCGGCATAGTTGAAGCGCGAAACTAGCAGCCAAATAAGAATAAAGCAAAAAAGATCCGCCGGGAATGTGTTTGAAACAGCGCACAGATGGTGCCTGTCAAAAGGGAACAGATGGACTCCAAATAGGAA